CGCGCGGGGCCGGGGCGGGTGTGCGGGACCCGGGTGGGAGGGAGGACTCGGTCCACGGGACGGGACACTTCCACCCTCTGCGCCGCAGCCCTTCCTGCTCCGCTTCCTGCTTTCTTCCCTCGAGGGGCTTTCCTTCTGCGCCGTGCGTTTGTAGGGCGCCACCCCTTCGCTGTCCCTTCCCCTGGGAGGTGAATGAGTACTAAACGAACTATGACGCCCTCGTTTCTGGGAGACCCGGAGACTGCTGTGCCCACCTGTCTTGGGTTTGGGGCAATGTTTTTTGATGTTTTTTTGATGTTTGCCACTATTAGGCTTCACTTCAGCACTTACCGCTAATACTATAGAAAAGAAAATGCTTAACTTAGACTGGAACCTAGTCGACTTAGTATCAAGGATTTTTGTTTTCCTTATTATTTTTTTATTCTTGTATCGTGTACTTGGAAAAGGGTGTGTGTTGTCTAGAGGTGGAAGGAACCTAGAAACTTTTTTTCTCAGTTGCCATTTATAGTGACTGCTGTGCTGGCGTTCTTCCATCGTAGCCCCTATTACCATTCTTTCCAAAAAGAATCAGTTATCATGGGATGAGATTGATGTCTTATGGATGTTTAAAAAGCGCTTGTTGAAAGATTAGCATAATGCATACGGCAACCTTTCCAATGTGGATGGCTTCCTCTAAGCAGGTGATTTTCAACCTTTTTCATCTCGTGGCACACACAGACTAATTGCTAAAATCCCGCGGCACACCAAAAAAGACATTTTTTGCCGATCTGACCAAAAAAATAGGTATAGTTTTGATTCGTTCACGCCAGGCAGCGATTGTTGTGTTGGGTGTTGTCATTTTTTTTAATTTGTTTGATGATCTAAAGCAGTGGTTCTCAACCTTCCTAATGCCGCGACCTTTTAATACAGTTCCTCATGTTGTGGTGACCCCCAATTTCATTGTTACAAATTGAACATAATTAAAGCATAGTGATTAATCACAAAAACAATATGTAATTATATATGTGTTTTCCCATGGTCTAAGGCGACCCCTGTGAAAGGGTCATTCGACCCCCGAAGGGGTCATGACCCACAGGTTGAGAACCGCTGAAAAAGAATCCAGTGCCCCTGACTAAGTAGTCAGGTATTGCACGTTTTAAAATACTTTGTGGCACACCTTTCGAAAAGCCAGGCCCTGCCTCCAGGTCTTGGCAATGACCTGTGCATTCTAGCCGTGTTTCTTGTACAGACTTCCGACCACACGGGTAGCTTGGCTGCAGCCTAGTACCCAGTTTGTTGTTACTGATCTTACCGCTCACCACTTGTGTGTAGTAATGATGTTGATACGTTTTACCATTGACAGATTATAAGGATGGACCAGATATGTACCCTTTACCAGAAATCGAACCCGAGACCCTTCGGTGCTCCTGCAGACGCTCTGACCGCTGAGACACGCTGGCCATCCTGCTTTTCATAGTGGCTGCACCAGTTTACATTCCCACAAGCAATGAATGAGGGTTCCTTTTTCCCCACAACCTCTCCAGCAGCACTTGTTATTTATCTGTCTTGTTGATAATAGTCATTCTAACACTTGTAAGGTGGTATGTCATTGTAGTTTTGATTTGCAAGTTTCATTCTTCGCCATGTGGCTTTCCAATGTTCCCAGCACCCTTTATGGTGTGTTTTTGGCTCCTTTGTCAAAACTCATTTGCCCATATGCATCTGGCTGTATGTTGGGGCTCTCAGTTCTTTTCCATTGGTCTGTGTGTCTGTTTTTCTGCCAGTACCATGCTGCTTTGATAACTGTAGCTCTGTAGTATAATTTGAAGTCAGGTAGTGTGATTACCTCCAGCTTCAATCTTTTTTCTCAGGATTGCTTTGGATATTCAGTGAAATCTTTTGTGGTTCCATACTAATCTGATAATTTTTGTTCTATTTCTTTAAAAAATTACATTGGGATTTTGATGGGGATTGCATTAAATATATACATATATTGCTTTGGGTAACATGGGCATTTTGATGGGGATTGCATTAAATATGTATATTGCTTTGGGTAACATGGCTGTGATCTATACGCACTAGATGCCAGTGGATTGATTCTTCCAATCCATGAGTGCAGAATATCTTTCCATTTCATTGTGTCTTTTCATTTTCTCTTAATAATGATTTGTAGTGTGTAGTATATAGGTCCTTCACATCCTTTGTTAAGATTATTCTTAGGTATTTTCTTTTGGTTGCAATTGCAGAAGGAATTGTTCTTTTCATTTTCTGATGTTTCATTGTTAGTATATAGGAAAGCATTGGATTTTTGTACATTGATTTTGTGTCTTGCAATTTGTTTATTTGTTAAACTATTTGTTTATTGTTTCTAATAGTTCTTGGGTGGAATCTTTAAGGTTTTCTATATACAGAATCATGTCATCTGCAAAAAGTGACACTTTTGCTTCTTTCTTCCCGATGTGAAAGCCTTTTATTGCTTATTCTTGCCTGATGGCTCTGGCTAGGACTATGTTGAATAGGAGTGTTGAGAGTGGGGATCCTTGTTGTGATTTTAGAGGAGAAGCTTTCAGTTTTCCACCATTGAGTGTGATACTGGCTGAGGGTTTGTCATATATGGTCCTTACTATCTCGAGGTACTTTCTTTCTATACCCATTTTATTGATTGTTTTAATCATAAATGGTTTTTTATATATTACCAAATGCTTTTTCTGTATTTATTGATGGGATTATATTATTTTTATCCCTTGTTTTGTTAATGTGGTACATTAGAATGTGTCATAGAATCTTGATATATTAGCTTCTAATCTTTTATAAGAAAAATATTCTTTTTGGTAAAAGTGATGCATGCTAATTATAAAGAAATCATACTTTGCAAAGATTAAAGTTTAGAAGGTCACCTCTAATCCTACCATCTAGAGATGCTATTAATATTAGGGTAGGCAACATTGTCAAGATCTATTTTATGTATATGTACGTGTATAGAATAATGGTTAGGTGGTCAGAAGGCAGGAGTGACTGAAAGATATTTGGTTGCCATTAGAAAGAATTTCCTAAAACGATCCTTATTTTTTAAGGATCTAAAATTAAGCAGATCCTTAAAAAATATTAAGAGTTTGGTACTATTGTGACATTCTTGCTTCAGTTTTAGGTGGCATATATTTACCTTTGATCATAAAGCAATTTTCAACAAATTTCAAAGAGTTGAACTTTTTTAGAGTATTTTCTTTCACCATAGTGCAATTAAGCTAGTAATCAGTAACTAAAGATAAATTTTAAAAATTGTCATTCTCTAAATAGCAAGAGAAGAAATTAGCATAGAAGTTGTAAAATACCAGTATTTTGGACTGAATTATTAAAACACAAGCTGTATTACTAGTGAATCGCATACATATCAGCCCATTGAGCTCTATTTAGCAATCTTTGACATTATTCTGAAAGGAACATACATTTAATAGGGTTTTGTCTCTCTTTTTTTTTTCAGATACTGGCCAAAAGAAGAGCCTAGACAAAAAAGATGGGAGACGAATGTCTTTTCAGAAACCTAAAGGGACTATTGAGTATACTGTAAGTTGTTTGCATTTTAAAAAGCTGATTTATCTCTGCATTAGTCTTAATTAAAATATTCTTTGTCCTCTCAGTGTTAAATCTTGACTGTTTTCTATGAATCATTAAAATTGAACCAAGTATCAAAACCTTAAATCAGTGGTTCTCAACCTTCTGGCCCTTTAAATACAGTTCCTCATGTTGTGACCCAACCATAAAATTATTTTCGTTGCTACTTCATAACTGTAATGTTGCTACTGTTATGAATCGTAATGTAAATATCTGATATGCAGGATGGTCTTAGGCGACCATCCTGTGAAAGGGTCATTCGACCACCAAAGGCGTTGCGACCCACAGATTGAGAACCATTGCCTTAAATCAATTTAAGTATTTTTAAAAGGTTAGGAACCAGATTACTTAGCGTAGAATATTTACTGTCTAAAAAAATCTCTTAAAGCATATTACAAACTTAATCTGAGTGTGTTTGTACCTTCTCTGTATGCTTGAGAAATTTAGAAAATAAGTTCAAATAGTAAAATATTGGGTAATGTAATTTGATATATTCATTAGTGTTCATTAAGGCATAAGATTATAGGCATGAAGTATAAGATATTATCTACACAGGTAACCATGTGGTTGTGCAGAATTGTTAACGTTTAGTTGATTTTGAATTCAGGAGTTTACCACTCTTTGTTTTGGTGATTTAATAAAACTTGTATTATCTGTAGCAAAGTTAAATTCAAATTAAGAGCCATTATTTTGGAGGGAAGGTTAATTTTAAGTTGAAATTATTTTTTTCTTAATGTTATAAATGACCTTTGGGATATAATCAAGTATTAACCAGAAAAGTTATGAAACATCCTCTAGCAGGTCTTTGATTAG